ATATACCCAGCAGCGCTGCTGATGCCTGAACGGTATGTGGAATGAAGTGGGCGGGCATCGGGAGGCCACTATGGCACGGGGCAAGCACTATGGGCAGTCTATCTGAAGTGTACCTGGCGTATAAGACGACCCCCCCTTGGAGGCATATTTTTCAGGGCCAAAAAATCGTCTTATACGCCGGCAAATACGGTAATTCAATATGCTAATAATAGAGATTAGCCTTCTCTCATTGAAAGTCATAGGTTTTTGGATAATTAAAATGGGTAAATTAATCATTGGCTGCTTTTTATGAAATAATATTCTTAATAAATGCAATCTGATATTAAAATAAATTTGCAAACAATGGCATATCCAAATCCACATTAAAAGAAGAAAAAAGAGCCTGGATGGTTTGGCTCAGTGGATAGAGTGCCAGTCTGCAGACTGAAGTGTCCCGGGTTCGATTTCTGTCAAGGGTATGTATGTTGGTTGCAGGCTCCTCCCCGGCCCAGACTCTGGTCGGGGCACATGCAGGAGGCAACCAGTTGATGTGTTTCTCTCACATCGATATTTCTCTTTCCCGCTCTAAAAATCAATGGAAAAATATTCTCAGGTGAGGATTAAAAAAAAATAATAAAAAAAAGAAAGAAGGAAAGTAGAGTTTAAGTATCGTAAAGATAACATGAAAAACTGGATTCCTGGATCTGTCCAAACTTGCTTCTCCCTCAGCCTTCCCCAGGTAATGAAATTTCATCCTTCACAAGGTGCTGAGACCAAAAACCTTGGCATCATTCTTGATCCTCTCTCATCTTTTCTCTCTCACACATTCCATAGTCATCAGACAACCCTACCTTTAAAACATATCCAAAATTCTACTACTTATCATCACCACTGCCAGCCACCATCATTTCTTCCCTGATTATATTAGCCTTCCAACTAATTTCTCCAGCTCAGACTTGATCTCTCTTCAGACTATTCTCAATATAGCAACCAGAGTATGTTAAAATATGAGTAAATCACATCAACCTTCTGGTCAAAACCCTAATAGCTTCCCATTTTACTCAAAGTAAAAGCCAAAACTTTTGTTTTGTTTTTTGTTAATCCTCACATGAGGGAGTGGGAGAGGGGAAGAGGGAGGAAGAGGGAAGAAGAAGGGGGGAGTGGGGGGGGGGAACATGGATGTGAGACACATTGATTGGTTGCTTCCCGCATGTGCCCCAGGGATGGAACCTGAATCCAGGTTTGTGCCATTGACTGGGAATCAAACCCCTACCTTGCTATATATTCCTTAAAGCAGGTACACTCCCACCTCAAGCCTTCTGTCTAGAATGCTTTCCTCTCAACTATTCACATAGCTCCCTCATCTTCAATTTTTTCCTGAAATGTTAATGAAGACTTCACTGACAACCTCCACTCCCAGCTTTATTTTTGTCAGCATCACTACTCTTTCCGAGCAGTATTCATCACATGTAACATGTATTTATTTGGCTAAATGTTAGTCTCCTTCCCTAACAATCACCTAAAATATAAATTCCAGGAACGCCAAGGTTTCTCTTCATTTGTCCTTTTTAAAAAAACGTTTAGGCAGGGACATAATAGGTACCTGATATATGTTTGTAGAATTAATGATTAAATAATATACTGTAAAATATTTTGCATTTTTATGTGACATACCTGTGGTTCAATTCTTCCTCATCTTCAAAAACTCCAAATGGTTTCATGGCATCAATTAATTTCTGTGTGTAAATGTGATCAATTTCTTTAGGACATGCCAAGCTAATTGGAGAAGTGATTCCATAATGCTTTTGTTTACGCTGGCTGTCCAGCACGGTGTTTCTGTTCAAGAAAAATTAAATAGCAGAAAAAATTTAAAGCATCATATCATACTGATACACTGAATCTCTCAATTCACTTGTTAACTTAGCTACCTTAAAAGTTTACTTATTAATACTAACAGTCAGTGTGGGTACTTTTTTTTAAAAGGAAAAAAAGGGTGTTTTGTGTTTGTATTGATGAAAGGCTATTCATACTATCTTCAGCTTTCATGGCTAGCATATCTTTTCAAGTCAAAAGCAGCATGTGTTGGCATCAGGACAACTGTGCCAATACCACTCAGCTCAAATTCAAAGAGCCTCAATAGGAGTTGGGCTAGGGCCACCTCTACTATACCCTACAGACCTAAGTCAAGTGCCATCTAGATTCAATCTCTGAAGCAGTCCGCGCCACTTGAAAGAAAGTAAGTAAAAACAATGTTTTTCCCTCCATCAGGAAAGAAATAAAAACATTCCATTAGAAGGTCTTTGTGAAATATTCTGACTTATAAAAAGAAATCACAAATAGATTTGTCTTTGAGATACCCAACTTAACATCCATTGCTTGAATCAGAGTTCATAGTCCTAACTTTTTGTGAACACCTTCATGTAGACTGGTACCCAGACCATTTTCACACTGAATTATTATCAAATTTTTTACACTAAATAGCAACCGGTTATAGAATATAAGCTCCTCTTGAAAAGATCCTAGACATCAGAAATTACAGTCTTGAATATAGCACAACAGAATTTCTGAGATTTTGGATTTACACAGACTAATAATTTCAAAATAAAATTTGGGACCAACATGGGTTAGTAAAATTTATAATTATGCTAAAAAAAAGGAAAGTAAAAACCAACATACAAAATAACCAACTAACCCTATCACCTATCTGTATCCTTTCATGAAGGACCATTAAAACCTACAGTAAGAATGTAATCTCATCCCAAGAAATCAAAAACAGCAGTCAGAAAGAACAAATGCACCCCTATGTTCATAGTACAATTTTCAATAGCTAAGATTTGTAAACAGCCTAAATGCCCATCAGCAGATGAGTGGATTAAAAAACTGTGGCACATCTACACAATGGAATACTACGCTGCTGTAAAAAAGGAGCTCTTACCATTTACAACAGCATGAATGGATCAGGAGAGCATTATGCTAAGTGAAATAAGCCAGTCAGAGAAAGATAAATACGACATGATCTCACTCATTTGTAGAATACAACAAAACTGATGAACAAAAACAGATCCAGAGACACAGAATCACCTCAAAGGGAAGACTGGGGAGTGTTGAGGGGTTAAGAACTTGTATGCATATAAGCATAACAATGGACACAGACAATGGGGTGGGGGTGAAGGCCAGGGCTGGGGGGTGGGGACAGGCTGGGAGAGGGCAAAGGGGGAAAAAGAAGACACATGTAATACTTTCAACAATAAAGAATTAAAAAGAAAAAAAAATGTAATCTCAAAAAGCAGTCTGTGTGTGTGTGTGTGGTTAAACCTCACCCAAGGATATTTTTCCACTGATTTTTAGAGAGAGTGGAAAAGAGAGGGAACGACAGAAACATCAATATGAGAGAAACACATGGATTGGTTGACTCTTGCACGAGCCCAGAGCAGGGCCCAAGCCAGGGAGAAGCCTGCAACCAAGGTACATGCCCTTGACTAAAATTGAACCCAGAACGCTTTGGTCCATAGGCCCGAGCTCTATCCACTGAGCCAAACCAGCTAGAGCTCAAAGAGCAGTCTTTTAAATGAATAAATTAGCCTTGTAAAGATTAAAACACAAAAATACATGATTGTTTAATTGTTTTTGAATTTTAACTGGTCAAAACATTGACTTATCACATGCTCTTTGATTAAAATTTTCATTAGGTAGGGAGAGACAATCAAATGGAAGATAAAATAGTCTATATACAGTACCTTCTAAAATTATGCAAACAAAAGAGAAACATCAATACTTGTGACTTTCTTTCTGGTTATTGTTGCAGAAAAAATAAAATTTCCATTAGTTATTTCAAGTTGTAACTTCTTTTTTAAAGATTTAGCTCTTTTACCTCTAAGAGAGATAGAGAGGCATTTGGTATTGTTTGGGCTTGTGTATGTGTATGGTAAATGAATGGGACAGGCTAATTATATGATCATTCCATTAATTGCAACATTAATCCTGAGAGGTGGGTATTGAAGAAGTGCCACATTACAAAGTACCCGCATTACAAAGATCTAAAAAGATAGGAAGAATCAGAACTCCAAAACTCAAGATCTCTCCACCACTCCATTCTCCCTTCCATCACTACTTGAGTCCTGACACTACCTATGATCTTGTGTCCCACCTTCTAAGTTCCTACTGGCACTGAAATTCCAAATCTACGATTCTGAACCTCCTTCATCTGGGGGGGGTGGGGGGGTGGGGGGGGGAGGCAAAAGAATCCCACATTCCTCTTAAGCCATTAAGTTCACTTATGGCTAAACATGTTGGAGAAATTCCAGTACCAGTGTACAAAAAGACAGGTACAAGAATGTTCACTGCTACACTGTAACATTAAAAACTAGAAACATGTCCGCAGCTTCGGGTTATTTCTCTGGTCAGGGTAAGTACAAGTAACCAATGAATGCATAAATAAGTGAAACAACAATTTGAAGTCTCCCCTCCCCTTCCCCTCTCGCTCTCTCTAAAAGATCAATTAAACACACACACACACACACACACACACTTTCTCTCTGAACTAGAAACAACCTAAAATAGTCACTAACAGGAAAAGAATGAAATTAAGGTGTATCCTTGCAATGGAATACAATCCATTAGCCAATATGAATTAACTGGATCTAAAATGCACAGGGACAAAGTTCGAAGATACTATGCTGCCCTAAAGAAGCAAGCTGCAGAATGAGCAATGTGATGCAGGTTACATAAAGCGTAAAAAACAATGCCAGCTATGGGCATGCATATACACCGTCTGTAGTAAGAGCATTAAAAACATGCGGCAAAAACCACCCGATTCAGGGCCGCGGGGGAACTCTGGGGAGAGAGGCGAGTGGGACCAAATCAGGAGGAGGTGGTAGGCGCATCCTTCAGAGGTGTCTGGAACCGTTTCTTTTACATGAAAATATGCCCCGCACACGCGCGCGCGCACACATTAATATTATGCTCTGGGAAAGATGGATGGTGTCTACACAAATGATGCTCATGTGAGACTCTGCATTTCCCCATTATTTCCTAATGAAACACCGCGTAAGAAGGTTCAGCAAAATCCTCCGCCCAGCGCGGAATCCGCCTCTGACTTGCCCAGTGCGAGCGGGAGTCACAGACCGGGAGGTGTGCTGTGTGCTGTGGGTGGGTGGGGAGAGCGAGCAGACCTGAGCCGCGATTAAGGAGGAACGAGCTGGGTCAGTCCTTCACCCTCGAGACCGGGAGACGGCGGGGCGGGAAGGCAGGAGGGGGCACCGGGGGGTGGTATCTGCGCCAATGCAGACGGGAGGAGAGACCGGTCCAGGCACCGCTGGGGCGGGAGAGGGACCCATGATGTCCCCCCCACGGACACACTCGCCT